ATACATACATACATACATAAATACATACATACATACATAAATACATACATACATACATAAATACATACATACATACATAAATACATACATACATACATAAATACATACATACATACATAAATACATACATACATACATAAATACATACATACATACATAAATACATACATACATACATAAATACATACATACATACATAAATACATACATACATACATAAATACATACATACATACATAAATACATACATACATACATAAATACATACATACATACATAAATACATACATACATACATAAATACATACATACATACATAAATACATACATACATACATAAATACATACATACATACATAAATACATACATACATACATAAATACATACATACATACATAAATACATACATACATACATAAATACATACATACATACATAAATACATACATACATACATAAATACATACATACATACATAAATACATACATACATACATAAATACATACATACATACATAAATACATACATACATACATAAATACATACATACATACATAAATACATACATACATACATAAATACATACATACATACATAAATACATACATACATACATAAATACATACATACATACATAAATACATACATACATACATAAATACATACATACATACATAAATACATACATACATACATAAATACATACATACATACATAAATACATACATACATACATAAATACATACATACATACATAAATACATACATACATACATAAATACATACATACATACATAAATACATACATACATACATAAATACATACATACATACATAAATACATACATACATACATAAATACATAAATATATATTAAAAGAAAAAAAGAGAAAGAAAAAAGAATAAAGAAAACCATACATAATACAACAGCTGTATAAAATTGAAAAATTTCTTGCACCATAGAATGAGACAAGCGCGCCAAGGCAGTGATACCTACGAAGTGGAAATATCCTTTCCAGCCATAAAGTAAGAAATAGTTTTCGCGCGTTAAGAAACTATTGTGGTTTTTTTTTTTGTTTGTAATTTGCAGATATTTAACCGTCACTAATGGGGAATTAGATTATCTCCCGAATTGGGAACGAACAGTCGTGCAAAACTGAATAATAATTACCAATATAACAAATATACCTAAATATAACAAATTGAACAATATAACAAACAAATTATAATTATAAGGACATTGTTGACGATGTAATATTTTAATCATAGTCTCGGAACTGGAATGATGCATGCGCTTTACATACATACATGATAAGACACACACTTAACTTATTAAAATATTAGTTTAGATACTTTAGTGCCTAATTAGATTTTTAAGCTTCGTTGGAACGTAGTTGTTTATATTACAATTTACATAACAAATACGAATTATTACGCCTTAAGATTTTCTTTACAAACAGGTTAAACTGAAGGACTACAATGGTGCTACACTTAAAACAACAGTATATAATGTCACATAACGATTTACTAATTATGTAATTTATATATCGTTTAATCATTAACACAGACAATCATCGCGGCTGTACATAAACTCCCGCATATAAGTGTGTGCGTGCGTGCGTACGTGCGTGCGTGCGTGCGTGCGTGTGCGTATGTGCGTATGTGCGTATGACTTATGAGTATGTGAGATGTACTAGCCTTATTAGTCCTTAAAGCTAATAGCTTTATTAACAAATTTTTTGCATGTTTAGTGATCCAATCTTGAATCCCAATTCGAACGAAAGAGCGACCGTTCAGACGTTGCTGGAGAGATTGATCCTCGAGGAAGACCAATTCGATGTCCACGACATCTTACCAAACACCGTACCAGACCCAGCCTCCCTAATATTGGAATCGGATTACGCTTGCCCGGTTGGTCAAGTCGTAATGGCTCCCGATTGCGGTAAGATTCATAAGTTCCCTCACCCTCCCGCCCATCCTGAAACTCAGACACGCATCGATCCCGCCCACGCCGCCACCAAAAATCTCCCGGCAGGAATAAAGGCTCGATGGAACCTCGATTTCAGTGCCCTGCGCCGTCGGCAGTTTCTACGAGACGACGTCGAAGAGGTGCGAGTCCTGCCCCGTGGGCAGCTATCAGAGCGAGTCCGGACAGCTCAAGTGCAGCCCCTGCCCCGTGATAGCGGGCCGCACCTCGGTGACCATCGGCCCGGGTGCCCGTAGCGCCGCCGACTGTAAGGAGCGCTGCCCCGCTGGCAAGTACTACGACGATGTCGCGGGACTCTGCCGCAGTTGTGGACACGGCTTCTACCAGCCGGAGGAAGGAAGCTTCTCCTGCCAGCTCTGCGGCCTCGGGAAGACGACCCGCACGGCCGAGGCCGTCTCGCGGGAGGAGTGCCGGGACGAGTGTGGCTCCGGGCAGCAGCTGGCTGTAGAGGGCAAGTGCGAGCCCTGCCCTCGAGGCACCTACAGGACTCAGGGCGTCCAGGCGGCCTGCCAGGCCTGCCCCCTCGGTAGGACGACGCCGAACCTCGGCTCCGCGGCCATCGAGGAGTGCTCCCTGCCGGTTTGCGAGCCAGGCTCCCACCTCAACGGCACTCTCAACGAGTGCATCGAGTGCAAAAAGGGCACCTATCAGCCCGAGGCCCAGCAAACGTCCTGCATACCCTGTCCGCCCAACACCAGCACCAAAGGAGCCTCAGCCGTAAGTGTTTGATCCCCAGCAGCCCGCACATCTCGCACATCCATGCAGCATACCCACCGAGAGAGAGAGAGAGAGAGAGGGGGGGAGAGAGAGAGAGAGAGAGAGAGAGAGAGAGAGAGTGGGTAGGTGGGTGACGTAGTTGTAATATTTTTATACGATAATGATACCAATGAGGCAAGGATCAATAAATTCTTCTATTCTACTATTCTACTCTTGGTGTATAGAAAACATCAGAGATGACCTTTTCAATTAATATTTTACTAAATTTTTGCATTTATTTATAACTTATCAGTTCGTTTAATGCATTCAAGATTTTCTTGAATTATTCATTCATTGTATACACTCTTACATAAACACGATATAAATATGCGTGCGTGCGTGCGTGCGCGCGCGCGTGTGTGTGTCATATATATTAGTGTATGCGTACGTGCATGTCTCTCTCTCTCTCTCTCTCTCTCTCTCTCTCTCTCTCTCTCGCACTCTCCCTGTCTGTGCGCGCGTGCCCGCGTATTATTTTAAAGGACTTTTAAGAAAATTTTCTAAAAGATATCATGTTTGTAGTAGTTGTTTCTACGATTTATAAGACCGTATTCAAATCGATCAGTCAATGAAATATTTTTTGGCACTTTTAACCGATTTAAATATTTATATATAATGACATTGATAGTACATATATTTATAATCTGTAATTAGTATTGTTGCTTATCATTTGTGGGAAACTGTATATACGCATCAGTTTTTTAAGTTTCAAATACATTCTTCAAATAAATAATTGACATTATGATTCATTATGTTTTTAATCAAAGTCAAATTGCCTTTATATAAATAACAAATGACATTCTTTCCATATTCATTTATCGAATCGAACGCAATGACAAAAATTTTTATAGCTTATGTCTGATTTGTCTATATTTATTTTGCTGCTTTAACAAAGCGTCCTATTTACATTAGATATAGATAGAAGCGGAGCAAAGTGTTTAATGAAGCAACCTAGATATGACTAAAGGAAACATGTTGATACAATTAGTTGGCTACACTACTCAAATATTGACATTGTATATATTGATTGTAGAAAATACTTAAATATTGGAACTTTTAGAAAGTATTTCTTTACCAACTAAGATAATATTTAAACGATATTTTATAGTATTAGACATTTTAATGTCTTCCATGTAAGGGAATTGATTCGAATATGTCTTGTAGATTTTCGCTATAATATAACAAATGGAAGAAAAAAAAAAATAATAAAAACAATTATCTTCAACGCGGTCTTACCCTTCGCTATTTCGCTTTTCGCTACCAAACCGACGCTGCTATCAAGAAACTAAAAAAAAAAGTTACGCGATACATATGAATTAGTACGAAGCCTAATTTTTCAAATTTCCGTCCCACAATTTCAACATTAAAGATACCAGAAATTACAAAAAAGGAAAGAAAAGGACGTTTAAACCGATTAGCCTTACCAAAATTGTTACCAAATGGCGAAACTTCTATATCCTGTATGGAATAATGAAAAGAAATTATGTAAAATTTAATTTTTATTTTGTACATCACTAACAAATGCCTAACAATCAACGAGGCAACATACGGCTGACTCGATACCTCTAATCAACTCATTCATTCGACAGACGAGCAAGGCCGAATGCACAAACCCGTGCGAGGTGAATGGCGAGGAAATGCACTGCGATGCAAACGCTTACTGTCTACTCATACCCGAGACTAGCGACTTCAAATGCGAGTGCAAGCCTGGTTACAACGGCACGGGTCACGAGTGCGTCGACGTGTGCCTAGGTTTCTGCGACAACGAAGGCGTCTGCCTGAAGGACTCGAGAGGTCAACCCTCGTGTCGATGTAGCGGCAGCTTCACCGGCAAGCATTGCACGGAAAAGTCCGCCTTCTTCTACATCACCGGTGGCATAGCGAGTGGCGTTGTTCTCATCATCATCGTCGTGCTGCTCGTCTGGATGATTTGCGCCAGGTTGTTTTTAAGAGGTTCAACTACATCAAACACCCTAATTGCGATTGAATTTTGAACTAACGATTCTCTGCAGGGCGTCGAGAAAGAAGGAGCCAAAGAAGATGCTATCACCAGCGACCGATCAGAATGGTTCACAAGTTAATTTCTACTATGGTGCGCCAACACCTTACGCAGAATCAATCGCACCGTCGCATCACAGCACGTATGCGCACTATTACGACGACGAGGAAGACGGTTGGGAAATGCCCAACTTTTATAATGAAACTTATATGAAAGGTAAGAGCGAATCTGAGCGATCAGACGCCATTATATTTTGAGCACTCTATCATTATATGAATTGCCACGCACACAAAAAAAAAAAAAAAAAAAAAAAAAAATTATTATAGCATTATAAAGTGACCATGAGTCGCACAAGTCGCATGAAACTGCAATATATTATGTGTGCTATTGATTAAAGAATTATAATAAGAACAATCGCATGCAAACAAAAAATGTAATGTAAATCTTGAAAAAAAAACTTTTCTTTGTTCACGTTGCACGCAGAGAGTTTACACAATGGCGGGAAAATGAATAGCCTCGCACGATCGAACGCGAGCATTTACGGTACGAAAGATGATCTTTACGACAGACTGAAACGCCACGCGTATCCCGGAAAGAAAGGTTCGTAAAAACAAAAACACTGCAAACATAGCACTATTTTCAAAATCACATCATACTACGAATATTATATGTACTTTTCACATATAAATATTATAAATATTATAAATATTATAAATAAATAATATATGCTTGCAATGCATGCACAGAAAACACGCACAGTCGTACAATACACGTGCATACACAGGCAAAAAAAAAAAAAAATAAATAATAAAATATATATATATATATATATATATTTACCTTTACCATTAAACTTACGCATGCAAGTGCACTCGTGCACCCACGCACAATCAAAAGCGTAACAAAAGCGCGCACTCACACGCACACAAACTATTTATTTCTCTGCCTATGAATTAGCATGTAAGTTTATACACAAGCAAACACACATACACAAACAAACGAACAAACAAACAAACAAACACGCACGCACACACACACACACACACACACACACATATATATATGCATATTACTATATAATCAGTGCAAGTTCATGACTGGACAATGTAAAAGTTAATTGTGTTAAATTGTGGTGACTTTATAGATAAGAGCGACAGCGATAGCGAAGGTCAGTGACTTTCGGGAAAAGTGGCCAAAATCTCGAGTCGAAAGTGACGAATCTCCATAAATACGCCGAGCTCAACGAATGTCTCTGTGTATGTCCGACGTCGGCGAACCGATCGATTCGTTTCTTTGTTAACATAAACAAAACAAAACAAAACAAAAAAAAAAAAAAGAACAAAAAAAAACAAAAAAGAATCACAATATACGATTATGTATTTATCGCACTTTTTAATCTGAACGTGTAACACGAAAGAACAAAAGATTTAAGGAGTTAAGGAAACATATTTTATTTTAGGGAAGAAAGCGCGACGAACCGCTTGAGTAAAATAGCACTGGAGCCGCGATCAATTTTAACAATTGCATTAAAAAACAAAAAAAAACAAAACAAAAAAGGGAGAAAAGAATAAGAACAGTAGTAGCGGGGAGTAATTCCCGTTTAATTACCATTCATGATTAGCCGATGATCGCCGCTCTGATGCATTTTCCTCGCACTTCGTACGTTTCGAACAAAATAATACTCCAAATGGATGCTGATTTATTATTAATATAAGAAACGATTATTACTTATTATGTATTAAGTGCGACTGAATTTGCTTGTATGACAGAAGACGAATGAGTTGTGTACTAGACCTACCTGCATGTTTAAAAGTATATTTGTGTACTTTCATTTTGTATTTAATTTGAGGAGTTGACTAAGTGATCCTTATTACATGTAATACGCAATTGTTTGTTATGCCTGATGTTTCAATTCTTATGGGAATGCTTTTGTTCGTTTATTCGTTTTATCGAACATCCATCAACAACTATATTATGTATGTATTTCCAAGATATTAAATAATTCTTAAAATGCATTGTAGGCTCTACATATTATTATTTAAATTTTTATATAAAATTGTTTTTGCAGTTTGATTATTCTTGATGAAGATGCGATTGGAATGATAAGCGTGTACTGATTGTAATTATTATATTATTAAAATTAATTTAGATTTAAACGATTTTTATTCTCCATAGGTATATTTTGTTATTATAAATATGTAACTATTTTGTACAATAATTTACACTACACATCGACAGAAACGTGGAAGTATACTGTTTGAAAAAATTACTATTATAACCGACGACTAACATTATAAGCATGCAAAAAACATTTCATAGTCAATAGGAATATAGAAGGCTCAAAGTATTTTCATCGATAGGTATTGTTTTTTAAACGAAGAGCTGGTTTACTATTGACACTGTAAAAATGCTTCGACGAATTGTTTTTAATAAAAATAAAAAATAAAAAAAAAAAAAAAAAAAAAAATATGTCTATGTATTTTTTACATCTAGTTTTATCTCTTTTTACGGATAATAAATTATTAATATTTTAAAATTAAAATGGAAATGTTAATATTGCTAAATGAAATATTTTATAATTACGTTAGGTATTTTACCGATATAAACAATCTATTAATGAAATATAAATTTTTAAACTTTTATATGTGCACGAATTTTATTGGGTAAATTTTTGTTTCTTAATTAATACCAAGGGAAGTATCAATATATTTTTTAAAATTATTTTCAAAGAATATTTATAACGAACAATGCTCATTTACTTTATATTTTCATTAATAATTTTTTTCTTTTTTTTTTGTCAACATTTAATTATTTGTCATTTGAAAGTACTTTTTCAAATTCTTATCTGTTACTCAACAATGCTCGGATTCGTCATTAAAATTCAATTTCGTTGATACAATTGGTAAGATTGCGATTGCATATTGCAATCGACAATTGTAATGTTTAATTTAATAAAAGCAGAAATTTATTTAACATTTGCTATAAAGTGCACGAGTAATTAAAACTTGAAAGATAAATTTTCATTTCTAACTACATTTAATGATGATTTTAAACGTGATTTTTCGTGCTGAAAGGAACGCGCGCTTATTCTATATATATTTTAATTTTATGTAATTCACATTTCAAATAGAACATAAATCTGAAATAATTATATAAAACTCTTTAATAATTTCGTTATTATGTAATTAATGTTTTTGATTTCCGATATATTCACGATTTATTGATGCAGAGTGCCAAAAACAAAAGCGCAGTAAATGTGCTTAATAAAGCATTAGATAAATATTTATGAATAACAATATTGAAGCTTGCTAGACCAATTCTCATAAATCGACTTTTATATCTTTTATCTTTATTTTACATATAAAAAAAAAAAAAATATATATATATATGTGTGTGTGTGTGTGTGTGTGTGCGTGCGTGCGTGTGTGTTTTTTATGTGAAATTGAACGTGTATCTATGAGACATAAAGTTTTAATTTTAGTAATTGATATTTAATTCTTGAGAATTTTGAATCACCTCAATACCATATTAATACAAGTATATTTTACTTTATACATTGATATCCAAATTATATATGTAGATAAATTAATGCACAGACATTATGAAGGCATTAGGTTTTATTTGTACTTGCTAGAATTGCTAAATAATGTTCAAATGTTCAAATGCTAATGCTTCCGACATCGTAGTCTATAAAAAAATTAGACGACTAATTTATTTTCCATACTTATTTCGGAATATCGGGCCTTATCACGCACACTATACACGATAAGATAAAAAATTGCAAAATATAATTATTATATTTGATTATCGAGACGCCTCAAAAATAATGTTGATATAATTTGTGAGCACGCGTTTTTTTTCTTCACTTTTTGCTTTACTTTTCCATTAATTTTCTCTATACATTCTATGGATTACTCTATGGCTGCTTAAGTAGTAATTGCTACCATCAATAATAAAGAAACAGTGACGTATTCTTAAAAAAATTAGAAATAGCTTGGTTAATTATAATTAATTCAGGAATTCGGTCTACTGAATATAAATATTTGTTTATTTAAACGTACCAATGAGATTGTACCAAAGGACGTAATTTTAGTAGGAGCGCTACCTAGCGCCAACAAGATATAGATGCAGAGCAGAAAAAAAAAATCAAAACAAAAACAAAGACAAAACATAAACAAAAGAGCAAAAAGAACATTAACGTCGTGTTCTAATCATAGATCTACCGCGATAAACATTGAAATTCGCGTTAACATTACAATTACAATTAGCATATACTCGGCTTGCTTGTAAGTTATCAAATAATCTATCGACAATTTGCGCATCGGACGCTTGCGAGTGCGTGTGCGTGCGCGTGTGCGACTCATCGACCAAACAAACCAGAAATAATACAAAGTGACATGTTCTCTAAATCTTGAACCAATCTTCGGGCTTAAAATACTTTGGCAGCCGCGAATCGAAAATTACACGTGCTTGGCCAAATGACGGGCTAGATCGACGAGATTCGTCGTCTCCCGGATGATATGCGCCGCGAATCAAGCATCCCGCGGCCAATCTAGCGACCCTTCCACCCTTCGCTCTGAACCCTTCAATTTTGAAATCTCACCTTCCCTCCATTTACATTTCTATAAATCGGAGGGCCAGTGTGTATTACCAAGCCAGTAAGCCTTTTAAATACGTCCATAATAGCACGTCCACTAATGCACGTTTCTTTTATTATAAGTAGATGATCGGGAGCTGCTGGTAGGGTGACCTAGGAGGGGTCGCGGAACGAGGAAGAGCCGAATATTCGGCACGTGTAAGTCGCTGAGCGGAGACTTTGGGCACAGAGCGCCCATCGGCGTACAAAAGAAACTTGGCGCGACGACGTAAACGACGTAGAGGACCACGACGACTACCAGATCGACGAGGAGTAGGGTGCTGTGTCGGTAGGTCGGTTGGGAAGTTGGGTGGGGGTGAGCCCCTGTATATTGGTGGGAGAGAGAGAGAGAGTGAGAGAGAGGCGGGGGGGGGGGGGGGGGGGGGTAGAGACGAGTCGATGCCGTCATGCGCGTGAGTCCGACCGAGCGTTTGTGCCTTGCGCCTTCGATACGACGAGTCGGAGCTGCACCGATTGGTTGCCGTTTCAAAGGCATTTGGTAGCTCCGCGCAGTCGCGTCCGACGATTAGAAAGAGAAACGGCGGGACTTTGCACGATTGCGTTGGCGAGTTAATCTGCCAATCGTCGTTCGCAAATTTCAAGCTCCTGCGCCATAAGCAGCAGCAAGTAAGACAGTTGATTAGTGAGTCGGGAAAGATCGCGAGAGATTGTTATTGTTGTCGTTGACGGGGCCGGGGATATTGGACGCTTGGACGCAGGCCGTAGGGAACTCTTCTCGAGAGTTGGCTTTCAGTTTACGTGTGAGTGGTGTGGGTGCGCGTGTGTGCCCAAGTACCGAGGTCGTATCGGCCAGTTTTGTGCGTCGTGTCGGAGGACTCGTGGAGGAGGACTTTGGTTCGTGGAGATTCGTGGAGATTCGTGGAGATTCGGAGGTATCGAGGAGGCGAGCTGCTACGTTTTCGCAAGGAAGAGGTAACTACCGCATGGGCCCGCTTTGTTCCACGTAGGGAGAAGAGCAGCGGACTAAGGATAAACGACGGTGGCATTTTGGTGGCGAGGAAGTCATAAGGATAGAGCGAGCTTTTGTGAGGAGGGTGAGTTATCAAGGCGATTACATTATTTAGCGATAGGAGACTAGTTGGCGGCTCGTGCGCGTTCGAGCTGAAACCCCCATCGATATATCATCGCGTGGCTTACGTAATCGACGTATGCTGTCGTCGCCACAGCCGTCGCCCCCGCCGCGACCGCCAACACCACTACTACCACCGGGCTCGTGGCGACGGATTTGCATCAATTTTGATACCGATCCAACGCGATCTATCTCAAAAGGGTGACTAATTTACGTAATCTATTGGAGCATTTAGCGCTGAGTCATTGCTAAATTTGACGTTTATTGTGAGGCTCTAGTAAATGATGCCAGTCGTACAGTTCGATAGATAATGAACGATAATAATAAACCGGGTAAACAACATAAGTATGTAGCGCTTGTACGAGAAGCATGTGATCGTTCCGAATGCCGCGCAAAACAACGCCAAACCAACACGCGCGCGCCATAGCACACAGTGGCAGGCGTACTTGCATGTGTGCACACGTGTATCGAACGTTCGAGAATGACGTCGCTATTAATGTATATTGTGTTTAGCGTTTTTTCTTTGTTCTACGTCGGGATAGGGAAGGATAGGGAATAAGGATCGAATGGTAAATTGCATGTTAATGTATTATCTGTAATATTATGGAAATTAAATGGTGGTTTATTTTAGATATCAAATGAATCCTTTGTATAGTTGTCACGTGCTTTGTTATTACGTAACAAAGGCGCTTGTGTATGCTCGTTTATGCAGAACTACTAGCGCATGAGTTTGTCATTCGATTTTATTTGCTTACGAATTTTCGATAGATTTAGTTTGTTGCATGTTTTGTTTTATTTTGTGTGTTTGAAAAAATAAAAAAAAAATAAATAAATAAAAAAAAAAAAAAAAAGTGACTATCGTTACTTCGACTGTTATTGTTATTCTCAGCATCCCTCGCCTTCCGTCACATTCAAGCACACATTTGTACATATTTTTTTGTTTTTGTTTTAAATTTAATGTTTTGGCTACCACCATTTTACATTAGAATGTCTAAATTTTCTAAATTATACAATATCGTTCGATTTAATACTGACAATGAATTTAGTAAATTTTGACAACGTACGGCAATAATAAAGAACAAGTTATATAATTAGACCGACGATTAAATGATTTAAGCTCGTACTGAATATTCTTCTAAAATCCGATGTAATGGATAAATTAGACCGTAATAATTATAGAACAAATGAACAAATAATTATCATTAACGTTAATTAATTTGCAAAGTTTGAATTTCAAGTTTTTTTTAATTTACCACTCGCGTTTCATGAACCAAGAATGCATGCAAAAATATTTGAATTTGTAATCATGTAGTAGTAGCGTAATATGACATTATCGAGATAAAATAATTTGTAATAGATTGATGAAAACAAAATTTAATATTTCTTATTAAAGTATGATAAGGTACAGGAGATTTTATTTTAATATTACACGCTTTATTAATTTTTAATCATAAAGTATTAATAGCATGCGGTTATCTTAACTATTTGTTTGATCAAGATTTTTTATTTATATTGAGTTAGATTTATAACATAGTTTTGCCATTCAAAACTACGTATTTTATGAAAGATGACAGGTAAAATAAAAAATCATTTAATTACCTGCTGATAATTTGATATAAAGATTATAAAACATTACATTAAATACATAGTTTACATTAAACTTAGTTCGTTGCCCTTGCAAGACACGATAACAAAAAAAAAAAAATCAGAAATTGAATACGAAGAAAAATTATACAGTTATTATACAGTTAATGTATAATTTAAATGAAAATGAAGATTTGGTTAATGAACATAGTTTAGATGAAATTTGGTTAAATAATAATATCTTAATTTCATTGTAAATAATTATACATTCTTTATCAAAAACTTTATTTCCAATTGAATTTTTAGTGACAATTGTTATAAAATAAGTTTATAATGTTAGTATTAAAAAAAAAAAATTAAAATATATTATAATTATGAATGTATTTTTAGGTATCCAAAATCCCTCCCGTTTTCAACCAACAAACGGCCAGCAACATTTCAATTGAGAACGGGGTCGAAGTTAAAGTAAGTATTACTTGTAGATGTGAACATTAGTAAATGATAAATGCAAAAGAGTATGTAGATATTTAGTGGAACATACTAATTGTTATTAGGCGACTTTAATGTTATTATTCATAGAAACGAAAACATAATATCTTACCGTGTAACAATGTTTTTGAGTTTTATCGGAATTATTGTTAGTGGCTGTAATTTTATTATGGCATTTTATGAACCAAAAACAGGTTTATTATTTACACTTGCATATTTATCATATTTTACATATATGTTTCAGTTTAAGTAAAATGAAATTATCACAATTAATAGAAAATTTCATTAAATAATTATAATGAAATTGATGAATAATCGGTAATCATATTGTTCATAAATTATTAATGTCTTTATTGCCATAGTGTTTATTGTCTTTATTGATCCCTAAGATTAATGATAATTTGATTAGATGCAAATTTAATAGTAGATATCTCATTTATCGTTGGAAGATTTTTTTTTGTCTTTTTTCTTCCTTTGGGTGCTAAACTGTTTTATAAAATTATTGCTAAAATTAATGCACTCTAATGGTAGCATGAACAGTTTTGAATATATATTGCATATACAAATTTAATGAATATTTATTATGAATGTAATAATAATATGGAAATAAGTTATTTAACAACATTTAACTTTGAATTGCATTTTAATGGTTAAACTATGGCTTATTTGCCTTGTATCAATCATTAAGTTAATTCATTTTAACGGAAGGTGCACGATATTCGTGTAATTATTAATAAGTTTATTGAAATATGAAAATAAGTGCAAGTCCTTTATTAAATGAGGATTAACGCATTTCGTTAAAGCCAATCCATTGAATTTACAAGCACAATAATACAAACACACGAATGCTAATATATGTTTCGTTAATATATATGCTCCTTTAAACACAGGGATTAAAATCATGCAACCTAAAGCTTCGCCAATCATCTGCTTTTCGTGGCGTGAGATTGCGGCAACAACAAAAGGCAGATGCCTTAACCCCGGAAAAAATCGAAATCATATCCCAAAAAGATCCGGCCATAGAGCTAAACACGTTTTTGCGCGAACCACCGAGTTACACGAGCAAGTCCCGAGTCCAAGGTCAGGCTGCCAAGGAGGTGGCAGCCGTATATCCTTCTACTTGGGAGGAAAACTTCCAGGATCTGAGCGGCTGGTGCATGGCCAGTGTACAGGGGCGATACAATTTTGCTGCAGGTGAATCCGCGATGACTTCGATGATTACAGGTAAATTAGAATTTCTTAACAGTGACAGTTAACGATCATTTTTCACACTGCTTAAGCGACATTATAGATGTAAGTCGTACGTGTACATTATTTCTTAAACAATTGCGTATCAGCTTAACAAACATTTGTCTAAATATTTGGTGTTTACTTCACTCGTTTTAGAACACATTAGACCAAATAGCATTGCATTAAACGTAAGATGTTTCGATTTTAATAACTGAGATATGTAAGTAGTATAGAATCTCAATTTAACTGATTTATTTTTACATCTTACATCTTTTTATTTCGACATTGATCAATTCGATCAGTCAACAATAGGAGCTTTATATGTATATATATATATATTTGACAACAAAATTAAATATTAAGCAATAAATTAATAATATTTTTGAATTGATAATATGACCGTCTATAAATATTTGTTGAAAATTAATATTTCAGAGTTAAAAAGTGAGAACAGCGATGTCTTGACTACAACAGATATGACAAGCGCTGCCTCGGTGCAAGCGATCAAGGGAAAAATCAACAATGACGGTGAAACGTTTGTATGCGCACCCGAATTAATATCTGCCACGAACGACGTTCTACCACAGTTTAATAGCACCAACGCAGTAGCTGAGCAGCAGCAGCAAATTAATTTCCATGATAATAATATCAGAAATATTATTAATGACGTTGGTGAACCGAAAAACCGCAGTGATGGGTGGATTGGTTTATCATCTAAAGTTGAATCGACAATGGATGCAAATAATGACAATATAACGTGGACGCAGTTAAGCAATGTAGGGATTAATACATCTACAGCTGAATTGCCACTTTATTATCAAGAATCGGTGATCGGTGCAGACGCGAAGCAACAAGAACAGCAATCACAAGATCTGTTT